CAAGGTTGTGCAACTGTAACTGTTCATATTCCGGTTGACTGTCAGTCGAGTGATGATGAGAAGAAAGTGTTTGATGGTAACTGCCAGTCTACAGCGTTGTGTGATGACGATGCTATTGATGAGCATATGTCTTGTGTCTCTGAAACGGATGCTAATGCGCACCGAATCGACGCGACTTGTCTGACAGAACGGAATCATTTAGACGTTGATAATAATCTGGATGTCACTGATGTGACAAATGAGTTACCGACGATGACGAATACTGATCAAACCTCCTCTGTATCAGGAGATGGAAAGATAAATATTGATCCTATGTTATGCTACTTAAAGTCTTCTGGAGACGATGAAATGTCAAAATTGGAGATCCCACCCTTGCATATTATCTATGGGTCAAGAATTTCTGTTGATAAGTTAGCATCACGGACTTCATCGTATCTGCTGATCGGAGCAAGTGGTGATGGATTGGCGACTCGTCCCCATGAAAGAGAATGTAGTCCTTGGATAGGATATGACCAGTTTTACGACGTGTTGTTCATGTTCGTGTGGGTTAATTGGGTAAGGTTTATACTACCGTTAGGTCATGCCACGATAGATAGGGGAATCAAGGGCCTGATGGGAAAGTATAGGTACCTAGTTAACACGATAGGTCATATCCATGTTGAATGGCGGGTAGGCGTACTGCTGTAAGTCCTACACGTTATTCCGGTGTGGATTAGGGGATAACTGGGAACCCTAAATAAAGTGTCATTAACGCTTGCTCTTTTTGCATGGAGGGATTTTGCGGGCCGGTGTAGAATCCTTTTTGAATGTTTTGTGTTTTGGAAAATCCCTCCATGTTTACATATTTTTGCTATGACATGAAGGACTTTTTCCTTTGACATTTTTGGTATTTTATTTGATTCCAATTTGAGGCTTTATCATTGTATATTGTTATTCTTTCTATATTTTGTACTTATATTGAAGTTTTTGTGTTTGCTTCTGAACTGTACATATGTTGTTTAAATTTGATATAATATGGCTACCGCCACATTTTTGGACGGACGCAGTGGCCGCTGGACTTAGCGTCACTTATTGTTATTGTGTCTGATACTCTGCGGAGTAACTTTACCCTGGAAGAAGCACTATATCCGTAATGCTTTGTATTTCCATTTTTTTTAACTAATACAGAGACGTTTTCTCCTAGAATTTTGTCCTTTTTGAATTGGTTGGAACCCGGAACTGGGAAAAGCGTACAGGAGTGCTTCTATTGGAACCAATTGGGACGGCCACTGCAGAAATACATTTACATCTATAGCAACGTCAGGGAACATTGACTAAGCTTCTATAGATCGGCAGTGAGTGCCCTCAGATGTACCTGAAGATCATAATATCAACTGAATAGTGGCTATCACCCGACAATGCAGACGATGAAGTGAGCTTGCAAGGCATAACACCCTTCCGACGCCATACGGTACACGAGACAGGAGGTGGAGTGACCATTAATAAAAAAAAGCCATTTCAAAACCGAAAAACTACACACTACTCAACTAACCGGCGTGACAGTATCAAATGAGGCATTACATGGATAAGACCAATATCATCTTGTTCTGATAACCACAGAAAGCCTTTACACAACTGCAGACTGCACAGAGATGAAGCCAAAGTTAACGAAACTCTTGATGCGATCACCCTACAGTTCTTCTTAATTCTCCGACATATGCGCGGGCTTAGAACTTGAGATTCACACTGTCGTCACACATCTTTTCTTTCAAAGTCACAGGAATAACTGAGTGTAGAGACCAGCAACCAAATGTGTGATAGACACAGACATTTATTATTCTGTACATTGCAGTTAACTAATCTACCTTCTGGTAATGTAATATCTGATAGTATCCAGAAACGTTTCTTCTCTGAAACAAGTGCCTTCACTTAAATCATGGGACACATTCATAATCAACTGTCAGCTGGTCAGAATTAAGGCAGTCGAGTAGCAAGACATTACCGAAAACCTGGAATCGTACTGAGGGAACAAGAATCAAGCTCAGAGAAATCAGTTGGTTTGTACTAGCTCGTCAAAAATAGTTTGAATACAAGACAACGTTGACTTACAATGCCCAGATTAATGTGGAATAATATCTGTACCACCGGAGAAAAGGAGACCTCAGTAAATTATGATGACCCAGCTGTCAGTGAATATGAAATTCATTTTGCGGCTTGCACTAACACTTGACTTAAGCAGAGGTTTACTCGTATTTAACTCTATGGAATTAAGCAAACAATTTTTTGAAGCACGTAAATATTCTGTGCTTTCGTACATTCATTGCTCATGAACGCAGGAAAAAATTTAAAAGTGTCAGTTATGATCCAACTTACAAGCAATTTCAAAAGTCTAACCGTCCATTTATAAATGATAAACAGGTGAACGCCTTTTAATTATTGTGTTATCATAAGAGTTTAAGCAACGATATAAATTTACTAAAGATCATATCGAATTCAGATTTCTGTGCCTATTCGACTGTCTTTCGCTACTGCACTGCAGAATATTTGTTACTTTTCAAGATACAAACAAACGATCACTGGAATCATTCACTTCCGAATTTTTTTCACGATAACATCGAGTTAGCCGTAATTGTTTAATAAACAACGATGTGTTATACAAATGAGTTATTATATTATATTGTTGACTCCTTTTAGATCTAAATTTACCACGTTACACTGAGAATTTCATACCGTTTCATACCAAATACTTTTCACCTTTGCTTTTTATCGTTCCAGAACGCTCGCAGAAATTGTGTATTTGTGTTGAACTAGATCTGTGTGATAGTCTAACCATAGGTTTTGATAGCTAGCTGTTCTGTTTTATGGTTATGTTAGGTTTTATTCTACAGTCGAATACCTTTATATATTTGATTGTATCTCACACAACAAACCACTGATCAGTTCTCTCCAGATTTTCGACATTTTAAATATTTTTCGCGAACCTACATGATTAATTTTGTTCACGCATAAATTGAAGATAAAATACAAGGAATGAATTATTCTGCCTTAAATAGTCGTCATTATAATATCTGAAAAACAAGAATGATTTCGTATTGAACGTTTTGGGGACCCATATATATCACTTCAACAACAGCACCGATGTTTTAGAAAAATTCAGATCAATGCCTAGAAGTTGAAATACCAGTGGGTATTCTGCGACACCACTGGATTCATCTAGATGTTGGGAAATTTATTGAGAACGGTATGCATTTTGTGACTGAATGTTTATTATCTTACTACGTAGTTTCGATTTCTGCTTATCCCCTCCTGCATATGTGAAGCTTTATTGGAATACCTAGATGCATTTATTTCGTTAAGAGCTTTACTGTAACACGATTGTACCTGCTAATGCAATCCAAGATGTCCGTAACGTTCTCTTTCAGACCCAACATTCTCAATATATGACGTTATCTAAGAAAAATATTTCATACAGAAGGCGATAACTCCCCTGTTAATAGCTGTAAAGTATGCTACAATAATACTACTAAAACTTTTCAAGAATCAGTACACATCGTTGTCACTGAATCTTGTATGTATGTGCTTATATGTGTGGGAAATTCCTATGTACATGCATTCCACTGAACAGAGTCTCTTCGTTCCTCTTGACGCCTTACGCATCTTTGCTTGCAGTCTATACTGATGTCTTTTATGTCTATGTTTTCTTATTAGTTTACACTTATCATTTTGTTCTAGGGATCACATAATCCAAAGTTGATTTGATTTTCTATGAAACGGGTTCTTTGATTACCTTCTTAACCTTGGTCTTAATAAACATTAACTTTTAGTGACAGGTATCCTGAATTTTGTGCTTCGATTGCCACCGTGTGAACTGATTGTTTTCATTTATGTTTAAGATCCGAGTGATACCCGTGGAATTTATAGGTGTTTGCTGTTGTATGGGAAAATACATTTTACTTCGCTCCCTACTGACTATGAGTGGATATGGAATGCCATATTCACCGACTTCCGTCCAAATCAAATATGTCCGATAATCATCGGTTCACAAGTTATGGATTGTGTCATTGAACAATTATCCCGTATTTTTAACACTTAGATTTTTTAAAAAAGGCAAAATATGATAAGTTGTATGTTATCTGTTTCAAGAAAATGAGCCGCAGTAAAAACCACCTTTTTCACCACACAAAGGCTTGTTTTGCTAACCACACTGAGATCAGTACTTAGTCTATTGCTCACTAAATATTAAAGAAGAATGCTATTTCAGACCATACTCCGTCTTCGGATTCAACAATTGCTTCAACTTCGTCGATCGTGCAGTTCGGAAACACTAAACTAGTCTGAAGGATCGTGTAATTTTTGAAAATCATTCGTAATGTGTACGGGATATCGAAACAAATCAGACACTGTCCTAAATAATGTGGTCGAATTGTTATTTTAATATATCTATTTGCTAATAGGGAGAAATCGACGAAATTCAGTGGAGCAGAATAATCAGCAAAAAGGGGTATATGCAAAAATGCGATGATATATTTGATTTTGAGACTAGTTATAATAAATGTGTTATAGAAAGTGAAACAGTGATGTTATTAGAAAAATATTATAAATCTAGGATAGGTAGTCTAAAATCCAACTGCCGTCTAGATATGATGTAATTGTCTCAAGTATTGAGCTTATCACTCATACCGCAGCCTTGATATGTAATCTAATGCTCTTGGATGTGGTGTGACTTGGTGATTCAAAATTATCAACCCTAAATTAGACCTATAACAGCTAACAAAACAGTTGACAGTCGAACATGTCTCAAGCGCTTCTAACCATAGAAGAAGGCATAGTTAGTCAGACTGAAGTTCACAATACTGCTTTTTGCAAGGGTTAGTTTTAATCTGATAATTATCAACCAAGAAATATTGATATAATTTCGCTTGTCATGATCGGATGTACAGTAAACCTGGATATATTTTTCTGCCGTTAGATATTTCTACTCGACCCTGCTTAAGAAACAAACATTAGAAAAATGTGTTTTATTGTCTCACAATACGGTAACTTTTTCTAGGTCACCCATTTTCCTGTCATCGGTTATCCGCGCACTAATGAAGGCGTTAATACTAATTGGCGGCTATGGCACTAGATTACGTCCCTTAACTCTTAGTATCCCTAAACCACTGGTCGAGTTCGCAAATAAACCAATGTTACTACATCAGATCAAAGCTTTGCTGGAGGTATGATTAAATAAACCACATTTGTATAAAATTTTAGGTTGACATTACGGAAATTATTCTTGCAATCAACCGCGAAGCCGAAGTTTTGGAATCTAGAATAAGAGAAAGCTGTGATAAAGTTAGTTTCTCTCAGAATGCATTAACGTATGTAAGGTTATTCAGAACACAAATGTAAAGATCGTTTTTTCATATGAAAAGGAAGCACTGGATACAGGCAATGTCTTTCACTTCTAATGTCTTGGTCACTTTAGGAGGTCCACTTGGACAAGCAGCACCGTTTTTAACAGGGGAGAGGTTTTTTGTACTCAATAGTGATATCATCTGTAACTATCCCTTCAAAAGGATGTTAGAATTTCACCTATCCCATGGAAGAGAGGGAACCATGGCAGTAAATGTCTTTTTATTAGTTTCACATACCTAGGTCACAAAAGTTGAAGAGCCTTCGAAGTATGGTGCCGTGGTACACAATGATCAGACAGGTCTTGTGAAACGTTTCGTCGAAAAGCCATCAGAATATGTTGCCAACAGAGTTAATGCTGGACTCTATATCTTTGAGCCTAGTATTCTCAGGCGTATTGAGGTGACATTCCCTATAAATTTAATTATGTACAGGCCAAACCAATGTCCATTGAAACAGCTGTATTCCCAGCAATGGTGAGGGATTCTGAACTGTACTGTATTGAGTTCTCAGGTGAAAAATGTGTCCATTTTGCTTGGTTTCACTTTTGTAAACTTGGAAGCACTTTAGATTTCCCACCAAGCCTTTTAGATAACCTCTAGTTATTATGTATCAGTATGATTCATTTCTTTTTAAAACTTTTACGATATTGGCATCACTTTACACCAGAAATTTTTTTGTTGTTCATTCTGTCACGCGCTACTTAAAATCTGAAACATGTGTACACATCTCAGGTTTTCACACCTCATTGTCACAGAAAGAAAAGACTGTCAAGACAAACCTAAGACTAGAGTCAACATTTTACTTAGGATACTGTACTTAAAACACCTTTTGTTCCAAATTTCATAATCGTAAACTCCGTATAGCTACCACTTCGTAAATAAATGTTTTCGATAAATGCCAACTGCATTTATTGATAGCCAAATACGAGTTTTTGGGTGACTTTTATTGGAGAAGCGTTCAGGCACTTTTATTTTAAGCTGTTATATCGATCACTGATTCCCTGATATTAGTTAATGCTATATGAAAACTTTCAAGCAATCCTTAACATGTATTTGAACTGTTTGGTTGTTATAATTCTGCCCATTTTCTGAATAATACTAAAAGCTTCATGTGTATTTTTGAAGTTCTGTGGGCCAATATACATTTTTCAGTTTCAGAACATTGTCTTTAACTCACTTTAAGACATATTAGATTTCAAAGGCCCCAAAACCCCGATATCATTGGTTTTTAGTTTCATTTTGAAATAGCAAAATACTACAACACATTAATCAGAGTTAACAAATTTAAACTATCACTATATATATATATATATATATATATATATATATATATATATATATATATTATAGCACCTTACATGCATTTGAGTTAGTTTGCGTCTAATTTGGTTAGGACCTTTTATTAACTTGTTCATACCTTTGTAATTTTATTATTGTCTTGCTTGTATGAGCATTTATGCTTAAACAATGATAACAGCTTACGCACATACTCATTCTACCAGAATTGATGTTATTCGTTCGAATAATTCGGTAACTTATCAATTTTCCTATCTATATATGTGTACATATAGATCCTGTTCATTCTCTTTTCAGTATTTCGCTTCGTATGCCTGTGGTTTTGTAATCGGTGTGATGCGATAATAAGTGTAATCAACACTTCATGCTCTTCAGCGTTCCGCGTTACCTAGTAATGGTTACCAGGCCAAGCAGTATACTAAATTTACGAATTATATCGAACACACCGCCACAATATATAACCTTAGTTCATTTTTAAACTACGTACGTAAACGATTGGGAATCATCCGCAAAACTAACTTTAGTTATCAATTGTCTTATGCTTCGTTTCAAAGTGGTTTGTAATATTGTGTGCTTGAATACAATAATGACTGTTACTTAGTTTCGACTGAATAATGTTTCTAACGCATAAAATAACCATACTTGACTCATTTGAATTTACAATAAAATAAACCTGATTACTTATCTAAGTTTGTAGTATAATTTATTGTTACTGATGTAGGTGGTTAATAAGTTCTCGAAATTTCTTCCGTTATACTTTTATATGAATAATTTCCTCACCGGACTTAATTGACGATTTATTCTCACATTAGGATTCTGGATGGATATTGGTCAACCTGCAGATTATCTGACGGGCATGCGATTATATTTGGGCCATCTATATGAATGTAAATCTCCTTTGTTAACGGTCGATCCGAATTTGATAGGAAATGTTCTTGTTGTGAGTTTTTATTTATGTATAATAAACACTTGTTCACATGTAAAAGTAGTCGACAACTCTATAATTCAAAAAACTCTCATGTAAAAGTAATATCTAAAACGTGCTTTTATTTTGCACGATTGCAATGTGTATAAATTTGGAACGTTTTTGTGGGGTTTTCGTCATTAGAAGTACTAACCTTAACAATATAAACGTATTAAGATTATCAATCAATCAATTATTGTTTTGCAAAACTTTTTTCTAACTTGAAAGAAAGCAGTTTGAAATAAGTAGTCGACATCCGTTTTTCATATCTATATATGGGATTCATTTACTTGAACGGAGGAATAATAACTAGATAGGGCCAGTCTTAATTTTTGGTAAATATACACCAAGATGTGTAATTTAGCTGTATTTATTCAGATCGAATGTTCAACTTCGAGTTTCACGACCTTGTAAACAAAACACTTTTTCTCTAACTAGTTGAACATGAAATCCATGAGCCTTTGCTAATCTATTGTACTCTTCAAACACTCAGTAACTGCTATTTATTCTGACATCAGAATTGTTGTATTGTTGTATTAAATACTTTACAACTCAATAAAATATATAGTACTCGAATCGACTCCGCATAACACCTCTGTTATTTATGCTATCTTTTAGAAAAACATGAATGTAATTCAACTTGATATAATCTAGATTATTCTGTTGTTGATATTTTGACTGAATTAGATTAGTCAAAGTCGGCGTATGTGGATCCTGTGCTAATTGTCTCGATATGGCCATTATGAAACAAATTCATATAGAACAGATTGGATTCGGTTAATATTAGAACTCAAGGCTCAGGTTTCGTCTTTCTTAAGACTCACTAACCGGATATATCTGCATTCTAGAGTTCATCTTCACCACGGGACTCAAACTTAGTACCGTCTGTTCCAATCAAGAGTGATCAAATTCGCTCAAAATATCAACAATGGCTGAATTTCGACCATTTCATATTAAGTCAGAACTCATAACTGTTGAAAAAATAACTGGCCACTTGGACTCAGTAGATAAGTGGATTACGTAGAGAGACTAAAAGCTAAAAAAAAACCGGATTCGAGTCATGAGGTGATCCAGAAAAGCACAAGTGCCATGTCCTCAACATTGGGAAGCGTGTGTTCTGAATCTCGCTGCTAACCAAGTCTCATCTACGTCAAATCAATCTAACATTTTCAAGTTATTAAGTACATATATATTTTCTCTTATCAATCATTCACTCGTAGCCGTGGTTATTTTTATCTATCTGATCGTTTATATGCATATGCTTATTTAACACCTACCGTATTCTCAACCTGTTGAGTCAGGTTTGATTAAATGAAGTACAATGTGAAGCCTTTCTTCGTGGTTCACCTGTTGACCTGTCCGAATAGATAATTGTCTGAAATAAATTCTTCCTACTCGATTTGTACCTAGCATTTGTTATCACTGTCGCTCAAATGGTTTAGCCTAAATATAATACGCAAAGTAAAACGGAGAGTTTATATTCCGTAATTTATTAGTCGTCGTTCTTAACGAAGTCATCACATTGCTAGAAATCAAGTTTCTCATTCAAATTTGTTTTGTCTAATATTTATTGTAACAGATATATAAACGACGATTATTCTTTTTAATAAATTTCCTTCAGGTTTTTAGAATTATACATCTAAAATTCTAATCCAGAAGGTGAACATGTTTGAAACAAATACATAACTTAAAATTATTGCCTATTAATTTAGAACTGTTTGTAACATAACGTACAAATGTACATTATGTGTATTTCGTTAGTTGCAAAATTTTACTATGTATTACCATTTGGATCTATATATGTGAACAATCATTGTTTCCAGATAAAAAGTGTGGAAATAGATATAATCTGTACGAATCAGAAAGAAGAGTCATCAATTAGAATTTAACAATCAAAATCTAACTTTCTTCTAATAGTTTGTCTGTTAGCTAAATCCAATTCTAATGCAGAATCAGGCCAGTTATGAAAAGTTCCTCAATTCTATATTCATATACATCTTATCTTGATGATGTTTTTTTAATCAGAAGTGAGACGTTAACTGGCAAACTATGTATAGTATAAAATATCAGGTCACATAAATCATAAGTCTGAGCAACCATTTTTATGAGTCAAAATTATCGAAAGTAGTTATTATAAATTATGGTTTATATCTAGTCATTCACTAAATCTTATTAAAATTTTTATAAAGTTGTACTGTATCTTTTCATGATATCAATCTTAAAAAGTCACATACATAATCTTATACAAACAAATCTCAAGTCAACTTGAAATTTAACAGATTGCATTTAAGTATCACAAGACAGAAATTTTATTTTATTTTTACTTAACATTTATATAATAGTCTTTTTTTTCCGTGAATAATTTCACATTGTCACCTTCGATCAACTATTAAAGTGAGCTACACATACTAAAAAGTTGACTTACCATTCAGCATCATTGTATGATGTTCTTTGGCAGGAAGAACGCCAATAAAGTTTTTTGTCTTGTTTATTAATTAAAATTCATTTCCTATTTTTAATCAAACTTTCATTTAGCATGAAACTGCAAAAATAGGTCGTGGTTGTCGAATCGGCCCCAATGTAACTATTGGTGCAGATGTCGTAATTGAGGATGGTGTACGTATATCTAACTCAGCCATTTTTTCAAAATCAGTTATAAAATCTCATTCCTGGTTAAATAATTGTATCGTTGGTTGGCGATCAGTTGTTGGTAAATGGGTAGGTTTATTTAATTGCAAAAATATTCTTTTCATATTAAATAAAGTGAGAAACGTCACCATTAATCTATTACATGATGAAGTGATCAATTAGTCTTCAAAATCTCAGTATTATGGCATGTCATTCCCAACTTGAGTGGCTGAATGACAACATTTCAGTCCGTAAAACTTGATGACACTGGTTCAAATCTCAGCGAGCATCAGTCCCAGTGTCTCCTGATGATTTATTCACTAGTTTTGCATAGTCTTAGAAAAACTAATACTATTTTTGTTAATTTTTCTGTTTGTTCTCCCTTGCGAAGTTCGATATTCAGTCGTCATTTAATGTGTAGATAATCAAGACAGACCATTTGTC